CGTTTGGTAAAATCCAGTATATGATAGCAAATAGCCTGTGTAAATCGCAGAAAGTTTTCTTTTACTAAATACATATTGTTTTGTTTTGGATATTTTCTTAACATGAAGATATTGTTGTCTTCAGATGATATTTGACTCATGATTTGCTTCTATTTTTCTGAATATGTTAATGAAAATTGATAAGAATGTGAAGAATGAAGTTACTGAATTGCTTACACTGACTTTTTTGACGACTAACAAAACTAAATTTCTTCTTGCATGTGTAGCTATCATGTTCACATTTTAGAATTATTTCGATTATACTACCTGTCAGAGCTTCGAGGGACGACCAAAAAGTCGTCCCATCCCGTCCTGTGTCCCGCCGCATCCTGTTACATGAACGTAACTCTTCTTTTTCGAAGTACAGTTGAAAAAAGATCCATCTTCTTCAGTCTAAATTATCTATCTTACCATTCAACTGTTTCAGAGCAACATCTATACGGCAACATTATTATCACAAAAGAAATGATTTTTTCATCTTTAAAATATTTCTATCGCTTGGGAAACCGACCAAAAAGACTTTCGAATGTTCGCAAACACAAATAGGTTTCAGAGTCGGTCTAAGAAAAATTTTTGGAAGATTTTCGAATAGAAAAAACGGTTCCTGAAGGCTCGAAAACTCTTAAAGAATTATCGATAGTAACAAGTTCAGAAACCAAAAAGGTTTCCAAAGAAAGAAATCCATTTTTTGAGATTCGGCAACCCTTTTCGGTTTCGGAGTTCGATACTATCGGAAACTCTAAGAGTTTTCGAGCCTTTAAACATTCTTTTTTTCCACTTGAAAACCTTCCAATGAGTGTTTTTTAGACAGACTTGAAAACTTCTTTGGGTTTTCGAACATTTGAAAACCTTTTTGGTCCATTTTTCAGGCGATCAACATTTTTTAGAGTGTTGGTAAGACCGGACGGGATTTGTCCCGGATTCCGCGGAGCTCTGTTACCTGTTGATGAACACTTTTGGTATACAACTATGGATATCAATCATATAGTTGGAAGATCTGGAGTATGAGTTTCGATTTTTTTGAAGAACAGAAGTTGAACATCGAAACTTCTCCATGTAAGAAAACGTCAATTTGTTTTGATAATGTACATCGGCGGGTAGGTTCTTCGTCTATGCTATAGACTTCACCAAATGAACGAATATCATATTGCTGACACACAACTCAAGCCAATCTATGCGCAATTTACGGAGCGTAATGGTATACCCAATGAATCAAAATATGTTCCGTGATGAGAAGTTTTTATAGAGTACCATCATGTAATGGGCGTCACAAGCCAGTAATGAGTCTTGCTATGATGGACGTGTAATAAGTGCTGAATAATACTTTATAATAACAAAAATAACTTACTGATCGTGTCACTGCAACCCAGTCAAGTAAATAATGAAGAAATGAGCATTAAAATGCTTCAGTACTTGTAGCTAGACCATTTCGACCATTAAAATGCGTCTTTTAAAATACTGCTAAACTTATAAGTTTTTCGATAAATATTGAATGTCTGTAATTAACAGTGTCACCATTTTTTTTGAAAGAAGATAGATCTCATTTGTTTTATAAATAAGCTGTATATTTTAAGCAAGTAGCCTAACCTTGTTTCTTCTTTCTCAAAATAAACAACTAGGATTCGAAGGTGCTAAAATAGTACATAAGAACTATCGAAATATCAGCGCCTAATCATTTAAGAAGTTAAATTTCCTGTATATCACAGGTAAAAAACTGAACTTTAATTAAAATTTGATATCAACAAAACCAAAGCAGATATCTCTGGTAAAATGAAGTTGAATGATTAGAATTTAGGCACAAAATTATTTTTTTGTAATGTGAATCACATTATGATGTAAACAACTAAAACATATCATGTTCTGTTGAAATCAAGTGTGGTCCTTATTATTCATGTTGTTATTTTTGTTTGCTCGATTAAAGCGATCGCATAAATCGAAATAGACAGATTTTATTTAATGTGATGAAGTCTTCTTAAAAAAGCCGGATGCATAATTTACCTCACATGAATCTAAAAATCTATAGAAAATTACACAAAGCTGATTTTTTAAATGACATTGTAAAAAACACTCTCGAATTTTACATGATACGGTTCATAATAAAGAATACTTAGAAA